GTCGGAAAGAAGTTACGGAAAATCAATTAACAAACGGAGACGTAACACTAGATTCTATTGCACAACACTATCCTACAATGTACTGTACTATAGAGAAGTACGAATGTAGTACCAGTGTATGCCGGTCCAGTAAACAAGCGATTCTTTGTTTGTTTATTGTTAATCGCAAAGCTACACAATGGGCTATTTCTGCCTTGCCCACCACGGATATCGAATCCCAAATTTGAACGTTATAAGCCACCAGGCTTGAAAACTTTAGTATAGTTGTTTTATTATGAATAAGTTGCATTTCATTTGTTTTTCGGGTTTTATATTTTATTGTACGTCCAAAAGTATTTGTTGTCCATTGTTAATAATGAAAACCAGGAGAAAATTGAAAAAACAAAAAAAAACAATGTTAAATCGATTTTCAGGTGAAAGTCTGTCTTTAGTTATCATTACATTTTATATAAGGTGAAAGGCCTATAAGCTTTTGATACATTTTACCATATTCTGGAATCTTCTATGTACAAACAACCATCTCTTCTCCAAGGTACATAGTGTTGTAAACAAGTCAAACTTTAATAGGTGTATACAAACTTTATTATTTACTGTTAAATTAATATTTATGTTTTTTGTCATTTCTGTTATCGAGGTGAGGTCAAGAATACATACATTAAATTTCAATGATGAATTAAGTGTGTCAGTTAAAAGTTCGCTTTCCTAGCAAAGTGATTAATTACAGTGTTAAAGTTCACAGTGCTAGCTAAGCAGCTATAAGCTGCCAGTGTTCCCATAGCTGTCAGATTGTTCTGGGCATTGATGAAAACAGATACTTTCCCCAAAAGGGGGTCGAAGGCCGCCTGGAGAGATCATCTATTCTAACCACTCGCACAATTATCCAGTAGTGTGTTGTCTGTCAATCAGTCTGTAAACAATAAAATGACGTCGCATAAGTGACGCTTAACGTTTAATTTGTACTGACGTGATGTCAGTAAAACGACGAATCACGAGAAAAATGATGCGCTATGTAGGCTATAACACAGCATGACATATGAACTTCAAAAGCAAAAAATAAAAATATTTGTTAATTTTGGTATCATCTATTCTTCAAACAGAACACTTTCGAGGACCATACGGAAGTACATCTAGTTTTGAATCATCTTGAAATTGCTAAATGATTGTTCCCCCTCTGCGATGGTGATTGGAAGCGTGCAGAAATTGCGAATGGCAACATAGTACTTTGGGAAGAGTGCCGCACAAGATTCTTTTTGAAATTTAAAACTATTTGGTATTGTTTGGCCAAATTGTTTTCCTTTCTCCAGGCCTCCATTTGGGGTCGTGGACTCCGCGGTAGGCATGTGCCCATAAGATTTTACCTCTGAAGAAGGAAGGCTCATCAGTTGAAATTGCTAGGGTTTCATCAGTTTTTCTCTTCATGCGATTTATATTTAAATTTTCTATTGAAAAAAAAGAAGTCTTGTGCATAAGTAACACGAAGCAATAGGTGAAACAATAGTTTTTTGTTTTGTAGAACACTTATGAATAAAAAATAACGCTGACAATCTACGACACCGTAAGCACGAACTTTTCAGTGTTTAGTCAAATAAAAATCGGTCTGCGTAATTTGGATAATAATTTTTAGAAACTAGAATTACTAAATTTTGTGCATTTTCTTTGTCTCAGAAAGTATATATAAGTGGTATTTGTAACAAAACAAAAACGTGAACATTCTGTACATAAGTTATTGTGAAAAGACTAAGATTAAAGTATTTCCATAATTAAGTTTATTATCCAGTTCGTTGTATTTTATAAATATCTTAAACTGTTACATCTTTGCTCATGTGCTTCAGTAGGTTTATTTGGATATCAAATAAACCTTTGTTACCTTACCTGTTGCACCAGTAGAATTTTCTGTGTCTATATCTCCATTTGTTTGACCATTTGAATGACTATTTTCCGGGTCAGACGAAGTTCCGTCTGTGACTCCAGTATTTGTATGCTCCGGGGATTTCACAGATGTTGTTTCTGTTCCGCCGGAAACTTCTTGGGGGGCAGCTGCTGCCCCAGTCTTTGTATTAGCACACCCCATATGAGACCTACAAAGAATTCCAAAAGGTTTCTCACAAAATTCGGTTTAAAATAATTTATTAGTACAGTTATCATTCTGTGTAAAATCCAATTGAGAAAATAGTTCACAGTCAAGCTAGCTAATAAATAATACCTATGTTAAATCAAGTGATGCAGCTAGAGTTAGACATAGTAAAAAAAAAGGAAAATTGTATTATTATATAACACGTCTTTTCTTTGTCTTTAAGTCTAGATAATACCGACGTTCACAAGTTTCGAAATTAAAACATTGATTGCTTACAATGAAAAAGAACATTTTTTTTAATCACAAGCTGTCGCTTTCTCTGTTTACCGCGTGATTTCCAGAAGAATTAGGAAGGATCTGCAGGTTCTTGTTTTTGAATTTTGCGCAAAACTACACGAGCACCCTAACCACCTGGCCATGCCGGGCCCTGCAGGTTCTACAGGTTGGTAAATTAAGAATTCTCACCTCGATCTTCTAATAAGTGGAACTGAATTCAGGTGAATTGGTTTGGACTTTCTTGCGCAGACAAGTAGATCAGTCGATGTGCTGACACGTGTTCCGCCTTTTTCTATGTCTCTCACCGCTTAGTTTCCGCAAAAGGAATGTAAAATTCGCGTTGACTATTGGGTCGAAGAGGACTTGCGCTGATCGAGAAACGTCACTAAGGTATATGGTACTCGTACAGACACATAAATAAAATGAATATACACACACACCAAGCTGGTATTGTCTATAGAGAGATTCTGTGAAGTACAGTGATGAACACATACTTATATTTTGTCTTTAAACATCTAAAATCATAGGGGAAATGATACGAATTTTCATTAATTTCTGTGCATACAGAGTGGTAATAACTTTTTAAACATTTATGCGCTAAACTTCGCGTAAATACATAAAATATGTAATTTTAGTTTATTGCTGTCTTCATTGTTCTGAACGACTGAGAACTGCTATTGAAACACGTAAACATGTAAATAAAATAAGGTCATATTATTAGTTTTACAGCAAACAACTTGCTCGGTTTACTTTAGTTCAGTGTGTCCCTCTCGATAGAAATTTCACTAAGTTACTGTATTTATAGGTCGAAACAGTTATACTATTACGATTCTTTTTTGTTTTAGATTTTTTGCACAAAACTACGCAAGATATGTTGCATAGCCTTCCGTAATTTTGAGGGAAGGGAACTCAAGAACAATAGCCAAATCTTGGGCTATTATTTTCTTAGCGGGTAGTTGCCTTTGGCAATCACTTATAGTACAACCACTAACCTAACATTCAAACCGCGTTTTTACGACAACGAGTCAAACAAAATATTAGCTGATTAATTTTTTGTTGTATTACTTCTGATTTGTTCAATGATTCAGTTAGCCTTTTGAGTGTAGTAAGTTACTAACACTTGCTTTTCTGAGTAATTCTTGTCAGCGTAGGGAATCAGTAACATTTAAATATGCACTACCGGCGCTTGTGTTTAAATTTTTTAAATTATCATAAATAATTAAAAACAACGTTTTATATTTACACAATAAAAACTTTATTGAAGCCGCACGGCTTCCACTTTAAAATAGAATTATCACTCTACATGTACATGTTTCGACTTGATTACGTCATCCTCAGGAGTAACTTACAAGACTATACACCTGGAAAAAAGTTAAGCACCCCCGTGTTTTTTTCAAGTGATTCAGATTCGACGTTCTTGTGACTGATTATAAATTACCATTCAATCTAAACGTGTTTATCAAATGAAA